TGACTATACAGCAGTAGTGACAGATAGATTCAAGGGATTATATCTGATAGACAGAGTGCCTGAAGAACTATGGACAGAGGTTTGTGACATTTTACAGGAGGCAGTGATCAAGACCATCCCCAAGAAAAAGAAATGCAAAAAGGCAAAATGGTTGTCTGAGGAGGCCTTACAAATAGCTGAGAAAAGAAGAGAAGTGAAAGGCAAAGGAGAAAAGAAAAGATATACCCATCTGAAGGCAGAGTTCCAAAGAATAGCACGGAGAGAAAACAAAGCCTTTCTCAGTGATCAATGCAAAGAAATAGAGGAAAACAATAGAATGGGAAAGACTAGAGATCTTTTCAAGAAAATTAGAGATACCAAGAGAACATTTCATGCAAAGATGGGCACAATAAAGGACAGAAATGGTATGGGCCTAAGAGAAGCAGAAGATATTAAGAAGAGGTGGCAAGAATACACAAAAGAACTATACAAAAAAGATCTTCATGACCCAGATAACCACGATGGTGTGATCATTCACCTAGAGCCAGACATCCTGGAATGTGAAGTCAAGTGGGCCTTAGGAAGCATCACTGTGAACAAAGCTAGTGGAGGTGATGAAGTTCCAGTTGAGCTATTTCAAATCCTAAAAGATGATGCTGTGAAAGTGCTGCACTCAATATGTCAGCAAATTTGGAAAACTCAGCAGTGGCCACAGGACTGGAAAAGGTCAGTTTTCATCCCAGTCCCAAAGAAAGGCAATGCCAAAGAATGCTCAAACTACTGCACAGTTGCACTCATCTCACACACTAGTAATGCTCAATATTCTCCAAGCCAGGCTTCAACAGTACGTGAACCGAGAACTTCCAGATGTTCAAGCTGGATTTAGAAAAGGCAGAGGAATCAGAGGTCAAATTGCCAACATCTGCTGGATCATAGAAAAAGCTAGAGAGTTCCAGAAAAACATCTACTTCTGCTTTATTGAGTATGCTAAAGTCTTTGACTGTGTGGATCACAACAAACTGTGGAAAATTCTTGAAAAGATGGGAATACCAGACCACCTTATCTGCCTCCTGAGAAATCTGCATGCAGGTCAAGAAGCAACAGTTAGAATTGCACATGGAACAACAGACTAGTTCCAAATAGGGAAAGAAGTACGTCAAAGCTGTATATTGTCACTCTGCTTATTTAACTTATATGTAGAGTACATCATGCGAAATTCCAGACTGGCCGAAGCACAGCTGGAATCAAAATTGCCAGGAGAAATATCAATAACCTCAGATATGCAGATGACACCAATCAAATGGCTGGAAGCAAAGAGGAACTAAATAGCCTCTTGATGAAAGTGAAAGAGGAGAGTGAAAAAGTTGGCTTAAAACTCAGCATTCAAAAAACTAAGATCATGGCATCTGGTCCCATCACTTCATGGCAAATAGATGGGGAAACAATGGAAGCAGTTTTTGGGGGGCCCCAAAATCACTGCAGATGGTAATTGCAGCCATGAAATTAAAAGATGCTTGCTCTTTGGAAGAAAAGCTATGACCAACCTAGACAGCATATTAAAAAGCAGACATTACTTTGCTGACAAAGGTACACTAGTTAAGGCTATAGGTTTTTTTGGTAGCCATGTATGGATGTGATAGTTGGAACATAAAGAAAGCTGAGGGCCAGAGAATTAATGCTTTTGAACTGTGGTGTTGGAGAAGACTCTTGAGAGTTCCTTGGACTGCAAGGAGATCCAACCAGTCAATCCTAAAGTCCTGAATATTCATCGGAAGGACTGATGCTGAAGCTGAAACTCCAATACTTTGGCCACGTGATGCCAAAGAAGAACTGACTCATTGGAAAAGACCCTGTTGCTGGGAAAGACTGAAGGCAGGAGGAGAAGGGGATGACGGAGGATAAGATTGTTGGATGGCATCACTGACTTGATGGACATGAGTTTAAGCAAGCTCTGGGAATTGGTGATGGACAGGGAAGCCTGGCATGTTTCAGTTCATGGGGTCACAGAGTTGGATATGACTGAGCGATTGAACTGAAACAGACAGATTTTCAAGAAGTTCCAGTTTAATAAAAGAGAAGGATATGGGGGAAAAATCACTACACAGACTAAGAGCCATCACAGAGAATATAAAAAGAACAGAAGTGGCTTCCCACATGAGCAAGAGATTGCTGCTTTGAGGAGATGATACAGAGTCAGGAAAGACCTTATAGGTACGGCACTGTCTGAGCAGTGTTTGGGGCAATAAGTAAAGACACCATGGGGAAGGAATTACAGGGGGACGATGGGCACAATGTAAGAACACAAAGGCAGGAGACATCACTGTGTTTTCAGGGGACCACAGCTAGTTTAGTAGTGCTCAAAGTTTCAGTGAGAGGCAGAGGTGAGGGTGGCGAGAAGTAGTCAGGGGCGAGTTGTGTAACACTGTTTGCCATTTTAGAGTCAGAGTTTATTCCACAGAGTTCATGAGGAATCAGCAAATGATTTTAAGTAAAGCAAATAATTTGGTCAGACTTGCTGAGAAAAGGCAGCAGTACCCATGGCTCTTGCACAGCCTCTCAACGTCCCTATAACCTGAGAGTAGGTTAAAAAAAAGAGATTAAAAATAAAATAGGAGTCAGGATGTTGTAAGCTAAGTTTGTTTAATGACAATGAATGACTGTCTATGCTGAGCGCTTTAGATCGAGGATGGAGGCATAGTGGCCTAGTTATTTCTTTTTCGCACTATAACTCTTCCACTCTCCAAAACAAAAGTAGAAATTTCTCTAGACTAATCCATCCCACTTCCTATGTTATTTCCATTCCTTTTTCCTATCTCTCAATGGCCAGCATTAGGTAAACATGGGGTCATAGGAAGAAGTGTGGGGGAGGGGTTGCATTAGATGAGGCCTTCCGCCCACTTCAAGCCTCTATTATAGCCATGGGAGTTTCTGGTAGCATGGAAAAACAAAATCCAGGGATCGTCTGCAAGTCTTCTTTTGGGAACTTGTTCTAGGCTATGAAACCTCTGTGGCTTTTCTTTTTCCTTTTTAGCATGAAGAGTTCTTCTCAATTAACATTAGCAAAAAGGAAATAATTGAGTTTCACTCCGTTTCTCTCTCCCTCTGGGAAAGAAACTACAACAGTAAAATATCCAGAAGGGAAGTCATTAGAAGAGGAAGCTAAGGATAATCAAGATTTGACTGTACATTTATTGTAAATGTTGACTTATTTACATTCTCTGACTCTTTTTTGACTGAACTGATATGGTCTGGATGGTAGAAAGGAACATTGGGCAAGGAACTAGGAAGTGGTTCTCTGAATCTCTTTCTGCCGTTAATTAACCTCAGTGTCTTCAGATAAATCACTTCTTTGGGTCTGTTTTCTTATCAGAAAAAAAGGGGAGTGCTATTATATCAAACTTTTCTCAAGTTTAAGCTATTAACTACTTTGCATCAGATTCACCTGAAATAGTTCCAAAATACACAGATTCCCAGATCTAACTGGCAGTTACAATGTACTGATCGAGCCTACAGAACCTGCATGGGACTGCGCCTAACCTCCTGCCCTGCCACTTACTGACTAGGTGACCTTGAGCAAGTTATTTCAAGCTTGCAGTATCTAATTTTTCTCCAGGGATGATAATAACAACAGTATACTCCACATTGTTCCCTGAAGGGTAAAATGGTATAATGCTTTTAAAACATCAATTATATTGCCTGCTTATACTAAGCATTCAACAGATGTTATCGTTTGTATAGCCCACAGTATGTATGTACGGAGTGCTCCATTAAACATCTGTTGACTAAATAAAAGAAATATAACTGAGGGTTTTTTTTTTTAATCAACATTTTTTGACCTCAGATCTGAAATTTCTTTATTAGCCCCAGGAATTACTGCCACCAAAAAGGTAAAGATAGTTTGAGGGAATTTTAAGTGTTGTGCTCAATTTGCCTTATTTTTACTCTTAGAAGACCCAGACCCTCATGATAATTAAAAAAATAATTAAATGACAAAAGTCCCACTTAAGTGGCTGAACTGAAAGAGGCAGAGAATGAGTCTCGGACTTTGTCCGCTGGATCCAGCCTGCCACTGCATAATACAGTGACTCTCATCTAGGTATTCATCTCCACTTTACCTCACAAGTTGCTGTGAAATTGTTACAACAGACTGAATCATAACAACAACAAAGGCAAGATTCCGTTTTCTGTGTAGTTGAGCGAGCAGAAAACAGAGCAATGTAACTTTTAAAAAGCTTGAAAGCCAGGGTTCTCAAAAATAGCGAACTTCTATCACCCGTTAATCTACTGATCAAACATCCCACCTACATTGAACTGTGTATTTTTTTCTTTTTTCCAAGTGGCGGTGGTCCCTCGCTTAATACTCAGCTTCTCATTCTCCCCGGTGTTTTCCGTGAGAGGCGATACCAGCTTAGTACCAGCAGAGAGGAAATCGTCTCGGAATCTCTGGAGGTGGTGGCCTCCTAGAAAGATCGCCGGGAGGGGAGGAGCCGTGATTGTCCTGGAAGAAAAGCATGGCCCTATCCGGGAAGTCACGGCTGCCCGGGAGGCTGGGGTTGGCGGCTTTGGATCCTGGGGATGGCAAACGCGGGAGCCGACAGCCTCGGAGCTGTGGCAAGCGCGGCTGGTGGGGGCTCGGCGTGTGCAAGTGAAAGAAACACGGCCGGACGGGCAGGCGCGGGCACGGGGCTGCAGCTGACCAGGGGCCGTCCTTGCCTGGCGACCGCAGCGGAGCCTGGGACCCAGGCTGCACAGACGGCCGCCGGGAGCCCCGGGCCTCGCGGGGCGCGGCAGCCCCTCCCTTCCCAGCCCGCGCTTCCGCCCGAGACCCGGCGGCAGCCGTGACCGTGGCTGCGCCGCGCCTTCCGCCTGCTCCTTGGCGCTGCTGCGGCGCCCCGCGCGCGGCGCCCACAGGCCGCGGGAAGGGAGCGTCCGGGCCCGGGGACCGCCGCCACGCGCCGGAGACCCTCACGGAACTGGACGCGGGAGGGCACCGCTGGCCCCGCGTTTAGCTCCCGCCGGGGATGGGCCGCTCGGCACCTGCGGCCTCTCGGGAGCGGGGACTTGGCAGGGTTATGACCGGCGGCTGCCGCCCGGGCGCGATGGGAGGGGGAACGGAGGTAGCGGAGCTTCCTTCCCCTCCCAGGCTCGCAGTGACACTGGGGGCCGACCCCCGGCGCGGACGGGTGGGGACCTCGGAGGGGGCCAGCTGCATCCCGGACTTCCTGCTGCCACCGGCGGCGGGGGGGCGGGGGGCAGCGCCCGTGCCAGCTCTGCCAGCCTGTACTGGACTTTTCCGTTGTCGTCCTCTAGACCCTCCAACGGGAGTGCCTTCCCGCTGAAAGTCGGCCGCGGAAGGCGATTCTCCTCCTCCTTCCCCCCTCCCCCCTCCCCTCCCCTCCCCTCCCCCGCCCCCTCCCCCCTCCCCCCTCCCTTCCCCCACTCACCTTCCTTCGTCTCTCTCTCGCTTTCTTCCCAAAGCGCCAAGGCAAATATGGACACGAGTGAACCACTTAGGATACTACAGTGTGTGAATGTGTGGTGTGTGGAGGGAAGCGGTAATGGGGTGGGACAACATGAAAATAAAATTAGGAATATCTTGACTGTGTAACAATAACCTCCTCCCTTCCCAGCCACCGCTGCTAGCCGTCTCGAGTGGGTCCAAGGGGTGACAAATTTTACACGTTCAGACCTAGGAGAAAATTAGCCCGGGGTGACCGAGAGCTTTCTTCTCAATGTTTTATTTTTCTGAAGCATATTCACATTCCTACCAAATAAGCAGCATCCCCAGCAGAGAATTTAGCATGCTGTCGGGAGGCCATTCCTGGACACAACTGAGGCAGCTTCTGGGTAGGGCAGCTTCTTCATCTCTGCAGCAGGGGTTACTGGCGTCTGCTCACGATGTTACCTGAGGGGACAGGTGTTTGGGAACGCACGCCGCTCTAACGACCGGCCCTACCCCGGCTGAGGGCAAATGCTTTTCCTAAGGATGAGATGGGCTGGTGAACGGTGGAAAGCATAAACAACCTTGAATGTATGCTGCACGCGCCCCGCACTCCCGCTGCTCCCAGCCTTCCCAGAAGCAGCGACAGACTCCTCTCGACAACCTAACATCCCGTCCCTCACTGGCGAACAGCTGCATTCAAACGCCGCGGTCGGAGGGGAGTGTCTGCGAAAGGCAGGCTCCCTGAGAGTCCTCTTGCTAAGCTACTGCCTAGTCGCGGCATAGTCTTTATTCAAGAGGCCCTTCTACTTGATTCTCACCAGGCTCGGTTATTTTATTTTGCCCCTGGTCACCGACAGGGGGCGGCAGATGCCCTGCGATCCCCGCGCCGCTTGCAGGAAGGGCGTCCTGTTGTCTCTGGGAACCCAGTTTAATTGAACACGTGGGGTGGAGAGGAGGCCCTCCCGCCGGTTCGTTCGTCTCGGCCGCCCCGGGGCCTGGGGGTCCCGGGCGCCTCCAGGGGCCCCCGAGGGCTTCGCTCTGCAGGGAGTGGGCGAAGCCATCAGTGCCCCCAAGCAGTGCCCGTAAACTTAGCGGACAGCACAAATAAACAGATGTGTGCAGACGTTATGGGTAACACGACAAACACGTTGGAACATGTTGCAGAATCGATTGGGGCTTTCGGTCTTTTAAAGTTCTCTCACGAAGCAGAGACTTAGAAAGCTCGGTGACCTCGGGCTGAATGGTGGCCGTGGCAGGGTCTGCTCAGTTATTTTGAATTTGAAAAGGGTTTTCCCTCGGAAGCTGGGAACTACTGTTTAGCCACAGAATCGTCAGATGAGTGTGGAGAAGGTTCCGAGGCATCCAGCAAGGGAAGCCGGGTGGGCTCCGGGTTCGGCCGGGGTGTGTGTCTGCGAGCGTGGCGAGGCGAGCGCCGCGGCGCCCCGTTCCGAGCGCCGGGGGCTGTGGCGCGCGGACTGGGCCGGGCCCGGCGGGATTCGCTGCCGGCCGATTGTCCTGGAAACCTACCTCGCTCCGTGACTCGTCCTCAGAATTGTCAGAGAGGCGATATATATCGTCCTCAAGGCACTATTCCCACAGAAATGAGCAATTTAAAAAATCTGATACTTGTTGTAGAGCAGTGAGTTGTTTGGAAAGAAAAAAAAATTAGAAGGTTGAAAAAAAATTGAAGACTGGCTATTACAGTCATCTCTAAATAGCTTTTGACAAGCGATAGCTTCCAGGTTTTCCGAATGAAAAAGGATGTATTCAATAATTGTAGCAAGGTTATGCCCTTACTCTATAAATCTCATGCATAATTAAAAACTAATTCCTAAAATACTTTTGCAAGGTAGGGGAAAATTAGTTTTTAATTGTAGACATTATCACAACATGGGGCTAAGATGTTAATTGTATTGTAATTATGGACTAAACATATCGGTGGTATCTTAATGTTTTACCAACACTGTAATAGATTGTGGAAATGCAGCCATAACTACTAAAGAAGGGAAGAATTTCAACAGCACACTTCATTGTCAGAAATTTCTCCAATGTGGAAGGTCCGTATCATGTCAAAATATAGAATCTTTCCCAAGTAATGATGAATATTAATTAAGGTACTATGAAATTCGTAGGACAGTGTTAAATTTGTATTTGAGAAGGATGAGGAGAAACTGAGAAGAGAAGGACGGACTTGTCCAAGTGGGGAAAAGAAAGTAAATTCGGGTAGGGAATTTCCAAATTGGGTTCAAAATCCTAAGGTAAACCAGAGGCCCAGCTGCTCCTGTGGAGAGTCAATACTCTAGCTATTGAACCAGGGGATCTGTCTCATCGTGGGCTGTGAGAAGACGGACAGTTCTTTGGGTCTGAGGCTAAATTTGAGCAATTTTAAATTTGCCAAGTGCCAACACTATTTACCTTCAAATAGGTGTAGTAAACAACTGCACGCTGAGCATGGAAACATGTTTTAAAGAGGCAAAAATTTTACCAAGGGCCAACTACAAAAGGTTTCTTAAAATTGTTTTGCCATGAATTATCAATACTATGAAATATCGATAATATCAATTTGTTTTATAAGTAAGTCTTAAATATCAAGTTAAGATATTTTCTTTTTTTTATATCAACTTTTAAAACAGTGTTTTGAACTGTAACACAACTTGACTTATTTCCTTTATAATGATGACTATCATTTTGTGTACCACACAACAACTGTATGAGGCCTATGTCATTATTTCCGTTCCACATATAAGGAAACTCAAATAGCCTAAACTATTTGCCTGAATTCACAAAGCTATCAACTAGAAAGCTACTCTCTGATTCTAAAGCCCAGGCTTTTTAATACCATCTTACTGCAAGCCCTAAAACTGCAATGAGTCCCAATAATGGACACAAACTCTTTGACTCTCAGATATCTGGTGACTGAGCAAAAATGGGCAAACTCATTGCTGTCACTATTTGAATGACTCAAAACTAAACTAAAAACAAAAACACCTACATGCCACAGAAGATATCAACCTCCAAATCATTTATGGAGGTAATAATGTATGGGGAAGAATCAACAATCTATGTTAAAATTTCAAAATTTTAAAATATAAACAAATTGCATGATTATTGTAGGTAGAATAAAACTCCACTGTTTTTGCTTTGCCTGACATTACATGGATACAGAGTTGTGTCCATGTAAATTTCCATGGCTGTATCCAAACAAACTTTCTATTTATTTTTGAATCTGAAAGAGGAAAATGAATTAACTGTTACTCAATAGGTGTAGTTTGTTTTCTAGATAATATATTTAATATTTCATATATTTATATTTATTCATTTATATAATACATTTAATTATTCATTAAAGGTTCATGGAGGGTTGTAAATGATAATAAATATTGAAAAGGAGACTTTGAACATGAAAATGAACCACTGATACGTGGTAAAATCTCAGATTAGTTATCAGTTAGTTAATCTCAGTTAGTTATCTTGTGTTAGTTATTATTTCTGCCACTTAATAGTAGGTCTCTGATTATGAAGGAGTTTTGCTGCATTTGGGATTTTATGTTGCATTTCCACAAGTATAATGCATTGGTATGTAAAGAAAACTGGTGCAAATTGGTTATATTTAAAATACACCATTCATTTGGGGGCTTAAAAGATTTCTGGGAAAGAGTATGTTTGGATATGATGTGATAACTGATCATGCAGAGCAGTGATCCTTAGCTCCTCCTGATTGCTCCTTTTTCTCTAGTCCAACAATTCTCAAATATTTTAGCTTTGGGACTGTCCCCACTCCTCCAAACTTTGCTTATATGGGTTTCGCCTGTTAATACTCATTGTATCAATATTAGAAATTAAAATTAGAAACATGTTTAAAATATTTGTTACTTAGCTTGTAATAATAATCAGCCCATTACATATTAACATAAATGACATACTTTTAATGAAAAATAGAAAAAATTTCCAAAACCAAAAAAAATGAGAAAAATGTTTTATGTTTTGTAAAGCTCTTTAATACCTACCTGGATTTAATATTTAGCTGAATCTAGGCAACTGGATTTTCACATTTGCTTCTTCAGTCCATCTATTGTGATGCAGTGTATATAGTTTACCATAGATGAAGAAAATCTGGCTTCAAAGAGATAAGTAGTTGGAAAAGGGAAACGAATTTAAGTAGCTTTTCAGATTATTATAGATATTCCTTATTACTACCCCAGAATTCTTCAAGTAGTAATTTTTTAAAAGTTAGTTGTACTGTGGAATAGAAATTCATATCTATAGACTTTTCACTTCTGTGCCATTAAAACTTACTGGTCTACTGAATGGGCCTTTTACATGGTGAGTGTGTTATACACTGGTCATTTTGGAGACTGTTGGTTCACTGAATTATGCAGATCTTCCACATGTTGACTCATTTCATCATACAATATCAACAATATCATGTTCCTTAATTTTGTCACTGTTTTTCATCAGGAAACATTTTGCATGTCAGGATACTACTAGTAGTAGTAGTTGCTTAGTAGTGCCCAACTCTTTGCAACCCCATGAACTGTATCCCACAAGGCTTCTCTGTCCATGTAATTCTCCAGACAAGAATACTGGAGTTGGTAGCCATTTCCTTCTCCAGGGGATCTTCCCAACCCAGGGGTTGAACCCAGGTCTCTTGCACTGCAGGCAGATTCTTCACCTTCTGAGCCACAAGGGAAGCCCAGTTAGGATACTGGTTTTCCAAAATTCTAATTTTTATTTGAAAGTTCTGATTTTATCATTAGCAAGAAATACTATTGGTTGTTTGCTTTGAAGGACAGTTTCTCTTTATTTCTGAGAAAATAGCTGCCAGATACTCAAGTGTGAGTAACCATAGTTTGTCTGTCACTTGTTCTTTCAAATAAAAATGCTACTCTGTGAAAAAAGTGGCTAATTCAACTTGAAACTCAATTGCACCAATGCTTTTCCTCAAGACAACCGTTGTACTTCTGTATGTAGCAGAAGCATTGTATGTATGCTTTACATTTTGTCTCACAGGTTAAAAAGACATGCCCTGAAGGGTCAGGATTTGATAAAATTAATAATTTTCACTGCTTTCTCAAAGACATTTGTAAGTGAAAATGACTTTTCTTTCTTTTCCTCTTTTTTTTTAAGCTGCAGGTGTGTGGTGGTGAAGAATACAGTGACTGTTATTACAGCTTGATGTCACTCTCTTGCTTTGTGTTGAGGCAATCAGAGTTACATCCACTGTCAGCAAAAGCATCAACCCCGTGAAAAAGGTAAATAGCCTCTTGATATTATCATGATACTAGCTCCAACCACACATAACCCCTGGAAAAATCTTGGGAACCTCCTGGGTTCTATGGACCCCTTTGAGAACCTCTTCTCTAGTCCTAGATTAGCATTTAAGATATTTCATCTTTTAAAAAAATATTTAATTTATTTCTTTAAGCTGCACCTGATAGGCTATATAGTCCATGGGTTTGCAAAAGAATCAGATATGATTGAGCAACTGAACAACAACAGCAACAACAACTAAATGAGGATGATGATTTGGGTAAGACATTTATTCAGAGAAAGGAAAGAAGCATTTGTCACGACATGTTATCATTTTTCGAAACAACATCAAATGGCAGCCATGTTCATGTATGTGTTGCACTGCTAGTACTTAGGACATGACTTCTCATAATCAGCATGTAAGAATTCAAATCCAGTTGTGATGCATTCAAAATATTGCAATCACGAGCACCCACCAGACGCATGGTTTCCAACTGTAAAGGGCTTGTCCAATTTGTATGAACAAGCTGAAAAGCACAGCTGAGTTTTAGACAGTTCCTTAGTTCTATTCCTTTGGGTCATGCAAGACTTCTTAAATATGTGAGAAAGTTCTGTTGCCTGAGTAATCACAAATCCACCCATTTTGTAAATAGCAAAATGTCTGTATTTCACACTCTTCACACCTTCAGTCTTTACTGGAAGAAATTGTAAAGTGGTAGAATCATCCCTAAATCCAGCAAGGGGAAGTGAAATTGTGCAGGGGATTTATTGCTGGAACCAATACCTGATTTTCATATCACTTCTCTTTTTGTAGTTAAATTTGTAGAGAATAACTTATTATGTGTGTGATTCAATAATATTAAAGAGAGGCCAATAAATTAGATAAGGTTCCACAATTTACATTTCTTTCAACATGATTAAGATTTAGTTTTGAATTTGCTGAGTAGCAGGCCAGTTCACACAAAGTGAAAGTGAAAGTCACTCAGTCGTCTGACTCTTTGCGACCCCATAAAGGATACAGTCCATTGGATTCTCCAGGCCAGAATACTGGAGTGGGTAGCCATTTCCTTCTCCACAGGACCTTCCCAACCCAGGGATTGAACCCAGGTCTCCCACATTGCAGGTGGATTCTTTACCAGCTGAGCTACCAGGGGAGCTCATGGTCGTGAGTCTGCCTTTCAATGCAGGGGACGTGGGTTTGATTCCTGGTTGGGGAAGTAGGATCCCATGTGCCTCCAGGCAAAACTAGGTCTACAAACCACAACAAAGGGCCTGCATGTCACAGTTTAGGTCCCGGGCAGCCAAATTCACACAAAGTTCCCCATAAAGTAGCATAGCCCATGTCAACATTTCAGTCTGAATTCCTTACAGGAGAGGTATCCAGAAAAGTAGC